ATGCTTTTAGATTGCTGGTGGAGGTGCAAACTTCTCCAACCTCTATGGAAAATAGTGTGGTAACATATTAAAAAAATAGCCATTGACCTTCCATACGACCCAGCAATCCCCTTCCTGGGAATATACCTGGAGAACTCAATTCGTTCTACCAAAAAGACACCTGCACATGAATGTTTATTGCCGCACTATTCACAACAACAAAAACATGGAACCAACCCTACTGCTCGCCGAAAGTGGACTGGAAAAGAAAATGTGGTACATATACATGATGGGATATTATGCAGCTTTAAAGAAGGACACAATTATGGACGTCTCAGCAAATGGATGGAATTGGAGACAATCATTCTTAGCAATCTATCCCAGAAACAAAGAACCGAATGCCACATGTTCTCACTCATAAGTGGGACCTGAACATTAACTGCAGTGTCACAAGGGAGGGATCAGAGGGACACTACCAAGGGAAGGGAGGGGGGAGAGCAGGTAACAGCACAAAGGGTACCTGATCCTAAATCAGTTGGAGACCCAGACTTCACCTGCACAGGAATTACTTACAGATCTAACCCTGATGTATACCCTGCGTCTTTATAAAAAAAAAAAGTAAAAAAATTAATGATAATAAATAAAACAATAAATTAGTCAGTGGCATTTAGGGCCTTCCCAATGTTGTGCAATTCCCATGTCTACCTAGTTCCAAGACGTTTTCATTTCATTGAGTCATCTTGCTTTATCTTCTCTTCCATTTTTCTTTCACTTCTCTCTTTTTGTTTTGAGTTGCAGTCTCACTCTGTCCCCCTGACTGGAGGGCAGTGGTACTCTCCTGGCCACCTCAGCCTCGACCTGCAGGGATCAGGGGATTCTTCTGCCTCAACCTTCCCAGCAGCTGGAATCACAGGGACGTGCCACCATGCCCGGCTACTTTTTCTGATTTATTGTAGAGATGAGGTCTTGCCAAGTTGCCCAGGTTGGTCTTGAACCCGCAGGCTCAGGCAATCCTCTCACTTCGGCCTCCCAAAGTGCTGGGATTATAGGCATGAGCCACCGCAACCGGCCTGTTTCACTTCTTTAAAAGAAAACCTTGTCTTTCATCCATGCCTGTAAATCACCACAAACCTTTTTAGTCAGGCAAGGTTTTAACAAGCAAATTTTTTGGAAAATCGGGCAACACGCTTCACTGCAGGAGAAGCAACCGGTGAACATGAAAAGACTTGAGAAGGGCTGGTTTTTTTTTTTTTCCCAGAAACCAGATGTAGAAGTGGCAAGAGGCGGTGGGCCAAAAGAATCTCAGCCAGAAAGCATCCAATAGAATGAAGGTGAATGCAGCTACTGACATGGTCAGTAAGGAAGGTGTAACTGTGACTTGGGAAAGTCATGTACCTGCATCGTGTGGTGAGAGGTGAAAGTTTGTGGTAATTAGGAGGCGAGACGTAAAGACTCGAACCCTTGACTGTCTAGAAAAGTAGGCAGAGAAATGAAATAGAGAAGAGGCTCTCTCAGGCAAAGCAAGTTTGAGGACACATTTTTTTTTGGTACAGGTTGGAGTCACTTAAGCCAAGCATAGTACTGTGTAGTAGAACTTGGTAGTGGCCATGACTTTGTGGCCAGCTGCAGTGTGACCTTGAGCAAGGCACTTCACATCTCCAGCTTTGGCTTTCAGCATCTAGGAAACACAACAACCTAACTACATTCTTCTAGAATTCCTCCCAGTGTTAGCATTCTGTGGTATATTTGTGAACATAAGGAATGGAAGTGAAATAAAAAGAAAACAGTAAAGCAATTTGAAAATATGATAATGCTTTCATTTCAGACACACTATTATTTTTGTAAATCTGCCTGAAATGCTGTTCTTATAAGAAAGTTTCATGATATCATGAAAGAACCCAATGAGAGTTTAATATCACTGCTTTTGTGTTTTCATGTCTCAAAAATCAGTAAAACTTTAATCACTGCCATTCTTTCGCCACTAATATAAAACTGGAGAAAGCAAAAATGTTTTGTTTACAAAGATAAATGGGCTCTTTACCCAGAGATCGAAACCTCAAATGACAAAGGGGAGGATAAAAGCGCCCTCCCAACCTATTCAGTAAATGGTGCTGGGAAAACTGACTGATCACATGCAGAAGATTGAAACATGACCCCCTACTTATCACCATATACAAAAATCATCTCTAAATGGATCAAAGACCTAAACATAAAATGTCAAACTATAAGAATCATAGAAAATGCAGGAGACATCCTTATGGAGATTGGAACTGGTAACCAATTCCTATTCAGAACCCTACAGGCCAATACCTTAAGATAGACAAGTGGGACCTCATCAAACTAACGAGCTTCTGCAAAGTCAAAGAAACCATCAAGAGAGCAGGGAGACAGCCCACAGAATGGGAAAAAATATTTGCCAACTGTATATCTGACAAAAGTCTAACATCTAGGATCTACAAGGAACTCAAACGCACCAAAAGGAAAAAAACAAACAGCCCCTTTAAAAAGTAGGCAAATGACATGAATAGACAGTTCTCAGAAGGAAATATATGGGTAGACAACAGACACATGAAAAAGTGCTCAACCTCACTCATCATCAGAGAAATGCAAATCAAAACCACACTGAGATACCACCTAACCCCAGTAAGAATGGCCATCATTAATAAAACAAACAACAGATGCCGGCAAGGATGAGGAGAAAAAGGAACGCTTCTACACTGATGGTGGAAATGCAAACTAGTGCAACCTCTTTGGAAGACAGTGTGGTGATTTCTGAAAGAACTGGAAATTGACCTTCCCTATGACCCAGCAATTCCCCTATTGGTAATATACCCAGAAGAACTCAAATCATTCTACAAAAAGAATATCTGCACATGCATGTTTGCTGCAGATCTATTCACAGTAGCAAAAACATGGAACCAACCATGTTGCCCATCGAAGGTGGACTGGATAAAGAAAATGTGGCACCTATGCACAATGAAATATTATGCAGCCACAAAGAAGGACAAATATATGAACTCTGCAGCAAATTGGATGGATTTGGCGTTGATCATACTCAGTGATCTATCACAGAAACAAAGAACAGAGTGCTATATGTTCTCACTCATAAGTGGAACTTAAACAGTTATAATACTATAAGAAAGCATTTGGCAGTAATGGGAAACTGTGGGCAGGGGGCTGTGGGATTGGCAGTTGAGGGAAACAGCTAGGGAGGGAGGGGCATACCTCATTAACAAGTGTACCTACATAATCAACGTTTGTATATCTAACCCTGAATTGTACCCCACATCTTCATAATAATAAAAAAGTGTGAGCATCACCCGAGCTCACACTTGTCATCTTGGACAAAGTCTTTAGTACCCTGGCCAGGGACACTGTATATGGCCAATTCAAGATGAGATCTCAGAAATCTGAACCATCTGTTCCCATGAATATCATTTATTTTCACCAAAAGTTTTGTTTCATTTTATCCAACCAACTCAAATGATTTGAAAGTCAAAATAGTGACTAGTGGGGGTGTGGATGTGGTTGATTAGAAATGGCCATAAATTCTTTAATATTTTTCCCCATCGAGGGAAAAGCTCTATGTTCCCTCCCTTTGAATCTAGATGGACTTGTAGATGTTTGGCCAGCAGAATGAGAGAAAATAATGCTGTTTCTAGGTCCTTTAGAGACTGGAATAATGACTTTTTGGTTTCAGCTGTGATGAAGATCATGAAACCCTGTGGAGAGACCTATGGATAGAATAAGGGAGGCCCCCACCGACAGCACTGATTTGCCTGCCGTGCAAGTGAACCATTTTGGAGATGGATCTTTAATGCTGGCTGAGATAGTCCAGCTGACATAACACAGAGCAGAGAGCTGTTTCCACTGATCCCTTCCCACATTTCAGATTTGTGGGCAAAATAAACGATTGTTGTTTTAAGCCACTAACTTTAGGCCGAACGTTAGTTTAACCCACTTACATTTATTGTAATTCAGCAATAGACAACTGTGCCAAGAAGTTGACATCTGTTCACTGATAATCGTGGAAACCAAATTCAATCAGTATAGGTGGTTTTGCTATGATGACATATACGCACTTCTGAAAAACTTTGCATTCTGTAAAATGGCATATTGCTTGTACACAGAGTTTATGAGGAAAATAAAGTTAAGGTAGACTGCTCAGAACTTGTAGAATTTTTGTAAAGAAAGTCCTAACTAAAACAGCAATAATCCTATGAAAAAGCCCAGCCAAGACAAATCTTCACTGGCATGTGCACTTAGGAGCATAGGGCATCAGCGTTGTATCCTGGGCTCTTGTCTTTACTGCAGTTTCACCAGAGAGCTCTATTAGGTGGCAAGCAAAGGGATTCTTGGGGTCACTAAATAAGCTACTTTTTGCACTAAAAAAAGGATCTCCTGCAGGATTAGTGCTTTTCTTCCCCCTATGTTGTTAAAAACTTTTCTTTCATCGTGAGAAAGTTGGATCCCAGTGCCTCAAGAATCAACCCTCTTGGAAATTCAAGAGCGAATCAAGAGTTTAGTGTTTACTGACATGCTTCCTTACTTGTCTACACGTGTGCTGTTTTGCACTAAGAAACACAGAGAGCAGAACAGACAGTAGGAGGCATTAGGCATACACGTAAAGCAAAGCCCGATCCACTGTCACCATAGCATCTTGTTACGGACTTGGGCCTCATGACCCTACCTTGTGCTGATGGATCCTCAGCTCAGAGGCCCAGAAGAGACTGTGGCTCTGGTAGGCAGCGGCTGGTGCTCTTTGGTTTCAGTATCCTTCATCAGTTCCACCACGAAAGGGCTGGCGGGACGGGGAACTAGAGCTGAAGGGGGGAATGCTGGGATGTCCTTCTTTTCAGAAGGGGGTAGTTCAATGGACAACTGTTCTCCTGAAAATGCTGGTGAGAACAAACCTTCTCCTGGTTGGGGATGGATTTGTCACTGGTCTTTGAGGCAGTGTCATAAATGGGTTCCTCAAAGAGTTGTTGTCAGCTAGCCTAGACTTGAAGGAAGACACTCACCAGGTAGACCGTGCTCTGCTTCGTCCACTGCCTCAAGACTGGGTTCACCGAGAGGAAGTTCTGGACTCCAAGCAACATCCTGAAGAATGAATTTGGAAAGACAGAGGTTGAGAAGGGACATTTCTCTGTGTCCGATGAGACAATAATCCATGTTATACAATTTCCATTTGAATTTCAGAAAATCATTTGGTAGTTGATTTGAATCTACTGTGGGGGAAAGTTCTGATGTAGAAAGAGGTTCTGAAAGGTTAACATGCACCGATCCAGTGATCAAGCATGGCTTTTTAAATAATGGAGTTTGCCTGCACAGGCCTACTTAATAACTGAAATATTTTGAATTGTTAGAATTGATGAATTCTTGTATTTCAAGAAGGAACAGGGCTTAGTTAGCACATCTATTTCTAAACACTCCAGGGACATAAATTAAAAAAACATCACTTTAAATAAAATACAAAAGTTATTACTGAATTTATTATTTTTACTTTTAAGATATTAACTTTTATTGATCGAACCCCATAAATAAATATATAGATAAGACCTTAAGACTTACAAACAAATTTACAAAGTATGATCATGTTTATATTTATTTCCGAAAGTCAAAGTTAAATGATACTGTCTGCTTTAATTATGCTTTGCAGTTCATGAAAATGTGTTGGTTTTATAAAAAACGGAGCACCTCCAGATTCTAATTGAAACAGAGATCTAACTAAATTGAAGAAAACTTTGAACTTTAGAATATTTGAAATGCAAGTTGTATTATATTTCATTAATGCAAATACTGAAAGTGGGTTAACCAAGAACTGCCTGTGCAAACAGAAAAGAATTATAATTAGCACTGCAGAGGGGATTTTGCTGTTCAGCTGGTTTGTTTTCTGATGGAAGGCTTTGAGAGTTTGCTCCCATATGAAGAACAAAAGGACAATAAAGTTACTCACCTCTGTGATGTCAGCAAGGGGCGTAGACAGTCCTGTTTGGATATCAGGACCAGTGTCTGGCAGTGAACCAACAATTTCTGTGAGTGAAAAATCACAAGATTTGAGTGCATCTTTCTCTTTTCTTTTATGGTCGGGGCAGTAAAAGCAGTCAAGTTTGAAACATGTACAATAACCAGTCCTTAAGGCACAGTAGAACAAATCATTAAGAGGTCAGAGTCACAGAAAAAGGGTCATTGAGTTGCATGATACGTTGCAGAGCTGAAGCAAAGAATGCATTCTGCATGTTTATGTGATAAGAATAGTGATTAGGGTGGGATTTTAGTACTTTCAGGTTTATTCTACAGATTTGCGCCAAGCAGTCTGGCTGTCTAGACCATTAGGGATAAAAACATGACTCAGCTAATAAAAATAGAAATGGCCAGAGTAAATGCTGGAACCAATGATAATTTGTGGGGACCTACTCCCATCCTAAAGCCTCATTCTCAGAACACCCTAGAGAGCTCAAAAGAGACAAACCCAGCGTATCAGGTAGTCTCTGAAACGAGTCTGAAGCGGACCTTATATTATACCCGTGTGTTTTCCTAGTCCTTTGTCTTGTCCCAAGAGACTTTTATGAAGTTTTCTAGTGTTAAGAGTCTGCCTGACTAAATCAGAAAAGCAGAACTGACAGAGGATGACAGTTTCATGCCATGTCATTCTAAAGTAGCATTTCCAGTGTCCATCAATTTTGCCATTCACTGAGTCTGCTGAAAACCTCCAGGCTCCTGGGTCCTTTTGGGCACCCTCTGAGGACCCTGAGTGTGCCTGGTTCTCTTGGACCATATCAATGGTTTTTATTTTATTTTTTTTGCTCTCTGTCTTTGGGATTACTTAAAACATTAGACAATCCTTCAGGCCTGAAGGTAGTAATGAGACTGCAGCTTCTAACCTCAGGGTATGGCCCTAATCCTTTGGGTAGAGGCAAACCTTTATGAATAGTCCCTTTATCTCCTCAAATTATCCTAACTTGAATGGCCCATAAAGTTCTTGTTGAGGCCTTGACTAACTGACGAGATGAGAAAATCTGTTTAGGCTGTGTCAGGGTAATGGAATTGTCTGTGGGTTCTTCTCTTCACCTGGCCTTCAACGGATGACCCTGGTTGGCCTGGACTAACCCTTGGATTCTCCTTGGGCCATCCTTGGCATGAAGTGGGTACCAAAGGCTCATCACATGAAACACAGGAAGGAGTGAGGAATGACGGAGATGGTACCACACGTGGTATGCCTGTCGCAGTAATGATTGACTTTGCAAGGTCCACGTTATAATGACAGTTTCCACAACACAGTCATACTTCCTAGTCTCTCTCCCCAAAACGAGAATAGACTCAGAACGATGAAATCGCCAACTGACCATCAGTGAACTGAATTGTCCCCATATCCAAGGATTGTTCTTCCTCTAGCACTTTGCTGATCAGCTTTTTGAGGTCTACAGCCGTGAGATAGACTTCTGGTGGCTTGCCCTCCTCCATGGTTTCACGATGAACTCCCTCACTTTCAATTTTGTTGGAATCCAAAGACAGGAGGTCACTTGCACTGTCTCTCTTAAAGATGGCCGTAAGTTGCATCTCTGTGGAGCTGGAACTGTAGAGAGCAGAGGACACCCGCCCCCCCCAACACAAATCATTTGTTACAGGCCTTGTCAAGAGAGTAACTACTGCTATCAAGCCTCAGGACAGCTTCTACCTCTTGGCTCACGGTTTCACTTATGGTTTCTTCACTTATGGTAATCGGTCAATTGTTTGGTAGTTTAAATTTAAAACTCTCTAGTGAAAGTCACCAAGTGTCATACAGGCAAATGCTGATTTGGTCAGCTGAAGAAGAGTCAGAGGGTGCCCAAAAGGACCCAGGAGCCTGGAGGTTTTCAGCAGACTCAAAGTCTTTCAAAGAATATCCCACTTTTAATTTTTTTTTTTTTTTTTTTTTGAGTTGGAATCTCACTCTGTCACCCAAACTGGACTGCAGTGGCCGCTCCTGGCCACTGCAGCCTCGACCTGCTGGGCTCCAGTGATCCTTCCGCCTCAGCCTTCCAAGTAGCCGAAATTACAGGCATGCGCTACCACGCC